TATGTCACAGGGCAACTCTTAGACAATATAAAGGAGTAGAGATAATACCATGCATCTTATCTGATCATAATGGAATGAAACTGAAAATCAACGATAAAAGAAGGAAGGAAAAAGCATACATCACTTGGAGAATGAACAATAGGTTACTGAATGATCAATGGGTTATAGAAGACATCAAGGAGGAAATTAAAAAATTCTTAGAGATAAATGAAAACACAGACACAACATATCGGAATCTATGGGACACATTGAAAGCAGTTCTAAGAGGAAAATTCATTGCTTGGAGTTCATTCCTTAAAAAAAGAAAAAACCAACAAATAAATGATCTCATACTTCATCTCAAAATCCTAGAAAAAGAAGAGCAAAACAACAGCAAAAGAAGTAGAAGGCAAGAAATAATTAAAATCAGAGCTGAAATCAATGAAATCGAAACAAAAGAAACAATTGAAAAAATTGACAAAACTAAAAGTTGGTTCTTTGAAAAAATAAACAAAATCGACAGACCCTTAGCCATGCTAGCGAAGAGAAGAAGAGAGAGAACTCAAATCACTAACACACGGGATGAAAGAGGCAATATCACAACAGACACTTCAGAAATACAGAAGATAATCAAAAATTATTTTGAATCCTTATACTCCAATAAATTAGAGATAGTGAAGGCATCGATAAATTTCTTAAGTCATATGATCTGCCCAGATTGAGTCAGGAGGATATAGAAAACCTAAACAGACCAATTTCAATTGAGGAAATAGAAGAAACCATCAAAAGACTACCGACTAAGAAAAGCCCAGGACTGGATGGGTATACAGCAGACTTTTACAAAACCTTTAAAGAAGAACTAATACCAATACTTTTCAAGCTACTTCAGGAAATAGAAAAAGAGGGAGAACTTCCAAATTCATTCTATGAGGCCAACATCACCCTGATACCTAAACCAGACAAAGACACTTCAAAGAAAGAAAACTACAGACCAATATCTCTAATGAACCTAGATGCAAAAATCCTCAACAAAATTCTGGCGAATCGGATACAAAAACATATCAAAAAAAATGTACACCATGATCAAGTAGGATTCATCCCTGGGATGCAAGGCTGGTTCAATATACGGAAATCAATAAATGTTATTCACCACATCAATAGACTTAAAGATAAGAACCATATGATCATCTTGATAGATGCGGAAAAAGCATTCGACAAAGTACAGCATCCCTTTATGTTCAAAACTCTAGAAAAACTAGGGATAACAGGAACATACCTCAATATTGTAAAAGCAATCTATGCTAAGCCTCAGGCTAGCATCATTCTGAATGGAGAAAAACTGAAGGCATTCCCTCTAAAATCTGGAACAAGACAGGGATGCCCTCTCTCACCACTTCTGTTCAACATAGTTCTCGAAACACTGGCCAGAGCAATTAGACGAAAGAAATTAAAGGCATAAAAATAGGAAAAGAAGAACTTAAATTATCACTATTTGCAGATGATATGATTCTATACCTAGCAGACCCAAAAGGCTCTACAAAGAAACTATTAGAGCTAATAAATGAATTCAGCAAAGTGGCAGGATATAAAATCAACACGCATAAATCAAAGGCATTCCTGTGTGTCAGCGACAAATCCTCTGAAATGGAAATCAGGACAACCACTCCATTCAAAATATCTTCAAAAAAAATAAAATACTTGGGAATCAACCTAACAAAAGAGGTGAAAGACTTATACAATGAAAACTACAGAACCCTAAAGAGAGAAATAGAAGAAGATCTTAGAAGATGGAAAAATATACCCTGTTCATGGATAGGCAGAACTAACATCATCAAAATGGCGATATTACCAAAAGTTCTCTATAGGTTTAATGCAATGCCAATCAAAATCCCAACGGCATTTCTTGTAGAAATAGAGAAAGCAATCATGAAATTCATATGGAAAAATAAAAGACCCAGAATAGCAAAAACAATGCTAAGCAGGAAGTGTGAATCAGGCGGTATAGCGATACCAGACTTCAAACTATACTACAGAGCAATAGTAACAAAAACAGCATGGTACTGGTACCAAAACAGGCGGGTGGACCAATGGTACAGAATAGAGGACACAGAAACCAATCCACAAAACTACAACTATCTTATATTTGATAAAGGGGCTAAAAGCATGCAATGGAGGAAGGATAGCATCTTCAACAAATGGTGCTGGGAAAACTGGAAATCCATATGCAACAAAATGAAACTGAATCCCTTTCTCTCGCCATGCACAAAAGTTAATTCAAAATGGATCAAGGAGCTTGATATCAAATCAGAGACACGCCGTCTGATAGAAGAAAAAGTTGGCTACGATCTACATACTGTGGGGTCGGGCTCCAAATTCCTCAATAGGACACCCATAGCACAAAAGTTAATAACTAGAGTCAACAAATGGGACTTACTCAAACTAAAAAGTTTTTTCTCAGGAAAAGAAACAATAAGAGAGGTAAATAGGGAGCCTACACCCTGGGAACAAATCTTTACTCCTCACACTTCAGATAGAGCCCTAATATCCAGAGTATACCAAGAACTCAAAAAATTAGACAATAAGATAACAAACAACCCAATCAACAAATGGGCCAAGGACCTGAACAGACACTTCTCAGAGGAGGACATACAATCAATCAACAAGTACATGAAAAAATGCTCACCATCTCTAGCAGTCAGAGAAATGCAAATCAAAACCACCCTAAGATACCATCTCACTCCAGTAAGATTGGCAGCCATTATGAAGTCAAACAACAACAAGTGCTGGCGAGGATGTGGGGAAAAGGGTACACTTGTACATTGCTGGTGGGACTGCAAATTGGTGCAGCCAATTTGGAAAGCAGTATGGAGATTTCTTGGAAAGCTGGGAGTGGAGCCACCATTTGACCCAGCTATTCCCCTTCTTGGTCTATTCCCTAAAGACCTAAAAAGAGCATGCTACAGGGACACTGCTACATCGATGTTCATAGCAGCACAGTTCACAATAGCAAGACTGTGGAACCAACCTAGATGCCCTTCAATAGACGAATGGATAAAAATATGTGGCATTTATACACAATGGAGTATTACTCTGCATTAAAAAATGACAAAATCATAGAATTTACAGGGAAATGGATGGCATTAGTGCAGATTATGCTAAGTGAAGCTAGCCAATCCCTAAAAAACAAATGCCAAATGTCTTCTTTGATATAAGGAGAGTAACTAAGATCAGAGTAGGGACGAAGAGCAGGAGAAGACGATTAACATTTAACAGGGATGAGAGGTGGGAGGGAAAGGGAGAGAGAAGGGAAATTGCATGGTAATGGAAGGAGACCCTCAGGGTTATACAGTGGAGGGGGTAGAGAGAGAGTAGGGGAGGGGAGGGGAGAGGTGGGGAGGGGAGAGGGTGGAGGATGGGAAAGGCAGTGGAGCACAACAGACACTAGTATGGCAATATGTAAATCAATGGATGTGTAACTGATGTATTTCTGCAATCTGTGTATGGGGTGAAGGTGGGAGTTCATAACCCACTTGAATCAAAGTGTGTAATATGATATGTCAAGAAATTTGTAATGTTTTGAACAACCCACAATAAAAAATTAAAAAAAAAAAAGATGAAACGCCAAATTAAAATTCTCAGAACTCAATTGAAAAATAGATTTTTTATGACATAGGCAGGATACAGTACATTATATTTGTCTCCATTAAAAACAGGTGAATGACCTTGGTATAAGGTTACTTGACTGGGACAAGTAATGGGGAATTTTCATCCTTCCTTTTATCTTTTCTTTCTTTCCTTTTGTCCTCCATTAATTATTTTTACTTTATTTTTCCTTTGTATGTCTGCCTTTCATTCTTTCCTTTTATTTTTGGTGCTATGATCTTTTCCAGAAAAGGATTCATATGCATGTATTATTCTATGTATCTAAATAGAAATGTATAATACTTTCAAAATTATGAATGGCTTCTTATAAAAGAAAGTCATAATCTAGTAAATAATTTCATTGAAAATTCCCCAAATACCTATATAAGTTCCTATTACATATATCTTCATTGAATTAATGGTATTTCACAGTGGTAATGCTGTATTTTCATTATGTATTAAACATAATGAGACTATGTTATTGAAACCCTGAATGACTATTATGACCTCAAACCTGTGATCCTTGCCTGTTCTATATTATGAACTGGAACCCAAGTGTTCATGACAGAAATGGATCTGTGATCTTTGATACTTGCCTACCTGATTCATATCTAACCCTGCACTCACCTCTACCTTTTGAAGTCTTTTGCTTTCAACAATTTCCTTCTCTCACTTCTACTGTCACCATCAGTCAGAGCCAACATTATTGCTCAGCCTGACTGTACCTAAATCTCCTATGCAGACCTCCTCTGTTTGCTCCCCTCTACACTGCCCATTCCACCTAGAGTAATTTTTGGAAATGTGGATACTTTGTTCCTTCCCTCTTTAAAGTTCTTCACTGATTCCAAATACGTGTAGAATAAAGTAGAAGTCCTTAATTAAAATGACCTAGGAGAATATATTATTTGACACCTGCCCACCTCCCAATTTTCCTACCTTCCTATCCAAGATCTATTATCCTACGTTACTCACCAATGCCCACTATATTTTGGCCATATTGATCATTTTTCTGACTTCCAGGTCTTTCTCATTGTCTGCTCCCTCCTTTAGGGGTATTCCCCAATACTACTTACCAGATTTATTTTTACTCGTTTCTATGATTCAGTTTAAACATCATTTCTTTGTGGATACTTTCTCTGACATGTCAATCTGATTTTCATCTCTTCCATATTTTTCCATAGCCATTTCAAGAAATTTCAGTTCTTTTCATAGGAATAATTACATCTCTAATTAAGTATATTGTGCACTTAACACTATGTCCATTGATTATTACTGATGGCGACATGAAGGCAACATGTCTTGGTCTCTTCTGTGTCCAAAATTCCTACATTATTGTCTGGCACCTAGGACTTCTCAATTAAAAAATAAATTCACCTCTGCGCCTGGTGCGGCGGCTTCGTGGCCTGGGTCAGGCCCTGCGCGAGGCGGAGGCCGACGGCGCGGCCTGGTCCCTATTGCATGCCCAGGCCGCGCCGCTGCGCACCGAACTAGCTGAGCGGTTACAGCCACTGTCCCAGGCCGCCTATATGGGCGAGGCGCGGCGGAGGCTAGAGAGGGTCCGGCGCCGCCGGCTGCGGCTTCGCGAAAGAGCCCGGGAACGCGAGGCCGAGCGGGAGGCGGAGGCCGCGCGGGCAGCGGAACGCGAGCAGGAGATTGACCGCTGGCGGGTCAAGTGCGTACAGGAGGTGGAGGAGAAGAAGCGGGAGCAGGAACTCAAGGCTGCTGCTGACGGAGTCTTATCTGAAGTGAGGAAAAAACAAGCAGACACCAAAAGAATGGTGGACATTCTTAGAGCTTTGGAGAAATTGAGGAAACTGAGGAAAGAAGCAGCAGCAAGGAAAGGGGTCTGTCCTCCAGCCTCAGCAGATGAGACTTTTGAGCACCATCTTCAGCGACTGAGAAAACTCATTAAAAAACGCTCTGAACTATATGAAGCTGAAGAGAGAGCCCTTAGAGTTATGTTGGAAGGAGAACAAGAGGAAGAGAGGAAAAGAGAATTGGAAAAGAAACAAAGAAAAGAAAAAGAGAAATTTTTACTTCAGAAACGTGAAATCGAGTCCAAGTTATTTGGGGATCCAGATGAGTTCCCACTTGCTCACCTCCTGCAGCCTTTCCGACAGTATTACCTCCAAGCCGAGCACTCCCTGCCAGCACTCATCCAGATAAGGCATGATTGGGATCAGTACCTGGTGCCATCCGATCATCCTAAAGGCAACTCCGTTCCCCAAGGATGGGTCCTTCCCCCGCTCCCCAGCAACGACATCTGGGCAACCGCCATTAAGCTGCATTAGGAAAGATGCTCCAGGAGTGTGGTCCAGCCAACGCTCTTTCCAGCTCTAAATATTAGTGATGTTGCCATCTTATGATGTAGACTAAACCATAACTGCTAAACTCCCTGTGTCAATGCCCTAGCCTAAAGTTATGCTTTCTTATATGCTCTGTCCTGGCCAGAGGTACCTCTTGAATCAGGAGATTAATATTGTTCTTCGGGGAGGAGCTGGGGATATACCTCAGTTGGTAGAGTGCCTGCCTCACATGCACAAAGCCCTGGTTCAATCCCCAGCACCATAAAAACAATATGGTTCTTCAGGAAAGGACCTAGGTGAATTGAGGTTATTACCACAGGTAGTGACCTTGGTTCACTAAATTTGCCTCTGTTTTGAGGGGCTTGGTCTAGAGTGACTTATTAATTTAGTCTAGCTTCCTTGTATGGTGATGGGTAAGTATACTCAATACACTTAAATACTCAGAACAAGCGTGTGCTGGGTGGATTTAGCAGCCCGTCACCAATAACTGAGCGTAAAGGCAAGCTTGATGCAAAAACCTTCTTACCTTCCTACCTAGAGAACACTAACTCCCTGGGGTAAAGGTCAAAAGCCTTCAGTTTTCTTAATCCTAGTTTTTGTGCAGCTTGGGAGATGGCAAGTTAGGAAGATGGCAGTGGCTACAGGCTGGGCTGCCAGAAAACATGATGGCCTAGTCTCAGTAGTCATGCAGAGAACTTAGGAAATCTGAAGAGTACCCATATTCAAATTGGATCATGTTTTAGTGGACATGGACAATGACTGTATTTTCCTCATGTTCTCCGTTCTAGTGAAACCACCTGGTTTTTGAAGTTCCTAGGAGTCTAGTTTTTTCAGAATCTCCCAGAATAGAAAGTTCTCTGTGGGAGTGGGACCTTAATCTCAGTCACATTGTAGGAGGCTGGTTTAGCTGTGGAATTTTCTTAGGAACTCAAGCTTCCCAAAACATCCATGTAGTCATAGTTGGGAGAAAAGGAAATAAGAATGACAAAATTTATTTTTTATATTCATTAATAAATGCTGTTGAGATGATCTGTCATATAACATGTCAACTTTTGTTTTGGTTTGTTTTGATTTTTGCCAATTTTGTTATTTAATTTCTGAAAAACTAAATAAACATCATTTTTATTTAAAAAAAAAAATAAATAAATAAATTCACCAAATAAATGTATTATTTCAGCAAACAGATCATTCATTGGAAAGTTCCAAAATAAGCTGATTATTGTGCAGGGACATTGTGCATAATGTTTTCCTCAGGTTGGATTTCCTGGAAATGAACCAGATACAAGAATTTGATGTAAATGTTTAATTAAGGAAGGGCTCCCAGGAGAAACTGGTAGGACTTAGTAAGAGCAAAATAAAGAAGGAGGGGGATATCAAGCAAAGAAGTAATTTGGTGCCAATCTCTCTTTCAGATGACACCCTTACTTGATCTTGCAAAAAAAAAAAAAAAAAATCTATGAAGTGCAAATGATGCTTCAGCATTGAAGCTTCTTGAGGCAGGTGAGTTTGAGTGGCATGATAGAAATCCAAGCACTTCCAAATGTCTGCAAATGCATGGAACTGATTCCATTAGAAAGAGGACAATTCTCCAAAGAAATACACATTGTACACTACTGTTACAAATATATCCAAAGCCAGGGGAAGTGGTCCGAGAAATGGCTAAAGGCAAGAGAGACATAGCATCATTCATAGCTGCCAGTGTATATAAGTACCTATATTATCAGACTCTTAAAAAAAAAAAAAAAAAAAAAAAAAACGATACACACTGAGACGCCATTGCCTTGGTGAAAAGTTACTTATATGTACTCTGATACACTTTCTTTAAAATATGTCCCACCACCTTATACTTAAAAATGTATTTCTTCTATTTTGATGGGGAATCATTTTGATTTCTTATGCTTTTCTATATGTATTGAAGCAATATTTTAATATGATGTTCCTGAAGAGTGTTACCCACAATCTAAGTTCCACTTTTGAGCTCAGGACAAATGCCAGACACTGATGGTGCAGATTCAAAATAACACTGGATTTGGTTTCCATCAACATTCAGGGTTTCTAACCAGTCTGGTCCAGCTAGACCGCATTTCTCTTCATTTGAACAATTCACAAAGATCCCTTGAACTTGATTCACTACCCTGAGGATGAAACGGTCTCAGGTGGATTAACAGGAAATTTCTGATGAATGAAATAATATCTACATGGGCCATTCTGTACCACATAGCTAAAGATAAATTTTATGAGCAGAGAAATGGAACTCAAATGTAAGATAAAATAAGCAAAGAATAATTTGAATATTTCAAGGACTTAATACTTAATCTCTGATGAATAACTTAAGATATTATGTCTGAAACAAATGAACTGTTACAAATATTTCCAACTTGATCACTTTTGTACTTTATTGTTTTAAAGCTATTTTATAGAAAGAGGCTGGTTCTGTGTTTTTAATCTCATTGTGTGTAGAACTCATAATGTATTAGTATCATTCTGAGTTTTTAGAATATTAAGAATATCTGCCACTATTAGTGTTGTTGCTCATTAGATGTAGAAAAATAGGTTTGCAGATTGAGAAGAGAAAGTTCCTAAAGGGTGTTTTTTTTAATAGATATTTTTATACAAACTAAATGTTCCCAAGCAGAAAGCAGGAAGTATAACACATGAATGTTGAGTTGAGAGAGATACTCAATCATGACTAACTCTATAAGGGAGAAAAAGAAGAGGAGGCAAACTAACGGAATGCATGTTTAAACATGTACTTTTCTATATTTTTTTCTTGGGAAAAAAGATAGTACCCTTAATTTCAAAGAATGGATTTCCTCAAAAGAGTAGACATGAAACAACCATATGACCCAGATATACCACTCCTCAGTATTATCCTAAAGAATTAAAAAAAAATTAAAAGAATTAAAAATGTCATACTATAATGACATTTGCTATAAACTCATATTTATAGCAGCACGATTCACAACAGCCAACCTATAAAACCAGTCTAGGTGTTCGTCAATGGATAAATGGATAAGAAAAATGTGACTATATATATAATGGAGTTTTTACTTGGTCATAAAGAAAAAAATGAAATTATGTCATTTGCAGGAAAATGGATGGAACACAAGAATATTATGTTAAGTGAAATAAGCAAAACTCAGAAAGTCAAGGATATTATTTTCTCTCATATGGGAAAGTTGGAGAGTAAAAAGAAAAATAAAGTTGGGAGAAAAAAAAATTGAAGGGAGATCAGTAGAGTGGAGGAAAGGGAATAATGAAAGGAAAGGGGAAATACTAGGGAATTATATTGGCCAGATTATATTGTTGTATTGTTTATATGTATGAATATATAGTAATAAATTTCATGATTATGTACAATTATATACACAATAAAAATATTACAGAAAAATATGTAATATGTGGAAAACCACATTGTATTTATTTAACTGTTTTATTTATTTATTAATTCATTCATTATTTTGCTGTGCTAGGCAAAAGTGCTAGCACTTTTAAAAGTGTTAAGCACCCCTGGATTTAATCCCCAAAGTGCTACCACTAAGCAACATCTCCAGCCCAAGAAACAATTTAAATATTTATATTAGTTCAGTTTAAGATGTATCCATGGCATTCCACATGCAGATAAGTAGTAAATCCATTATTATTTTTCCATTGTGCTCTTTGGATGCCAAGGATTACTTGTGGATTGATGTGAAACTTCAGGAAAAGCAAGAAGAGCAAGTCTTTGGGTTTTGAGGCTTTAGACCCTCCACCATGTGATTCAGCCAGATAAGCTTCAGCATTGCTAAAAATTTTATTCATTTTTAACATAAAAATTTAAAAACTGTCCAAGGAAACATGCATTTGACTGGAAAATTTGAGGATAAAAAAAATTAAGCCATTTGATGAAATTCACAGGTTACAAGTGGGCAGGCATAAACTTGGGTGTTTCTCACAAACACTGGTTTTTTATTGGTACCTTACATTGTTTTTTTCCTTTGGTTTGCACTTATATAATCTTTGAGTTCAATGGTATGATTTTTATCCTTACTCATACTTCAAAATTATCATCTGAGATCTAGATTTATCTGTAGGATATAGATTATAGAAAAAATTTTTTCTAGACTTGCTTAATATTACCCCACTTGACTCCATTCTCAATTCATTTCCTGAAAGAAACAATATTTCTGAAAGGAAAATCTGATTATATGAGTCAAGGGCTTAAAGCCTCTTGTGGCTCTAAATTGTATCCAAACACCTAACAAACACACAATTCTAAAAACTCCCTTTATTTACTTTCATGAGACAAAATTACAAACATATAATTTACAAAATCTCCCATATGTGCATTCACAAATAGATTACTATATTCATTAAACATGTGCATGCTTACTGTTTCCCAAGTGTTTCTCAATGGTAAATAAACCCATACTTGGTTTAATATATGTTGGAGAAGATATTTTAAATAAATATACTATCTAAGTTTGGATATTATGTGGCTATAACATGTGATAAGGAAAACAGGAAGGTGGTATGAAAGACATTAATAACAGTCTAATTAGCCTGGATTTTCAGGAGATGTTTCTTCTTGGCACTATTATTTTATTTTGAGATACATGGGGCAATTGGTGTTAGTCAAATCTTCTGGCAGGGAAGCGGAGATTGAGAAAGTCCTGGAACAGAAAAGAGGCTGATGTTTTAGGGAAGAAAGAAAAGGCTAATCTGGCTGTGCCTCAGTGAAAAGGGGAGAGTAGGAAGACAGCGAATGGGCGATGTGGGGAGATTTCTCATTACAGGTATCCAAACCAGTGCTCTCCACACTCCCTCGCTCTGCTCCTTTGCACTCGCTATTTCCTCAGTCTTAAAAAGGACATTCTGCTTTCACACATGTCATTTTAATTAATTTCCCATAACCAGCTTCTTTTAGATATTGTTCTATTTGGAAAGTGTATTGGTTACAACACACTGAATGCTATAATAAACAACTCTGAAATTTCAGTGCTTAGCACAATAAAGTGTATTTATCTTTTACAAAAATCCAATGCATATGTTCCTGACTGGGCAATTCTGAGTATCCCTCTGCTTTCTGGTAACTTGATTCATTCCTAATTTTTGCTTCAAACACACCCTAGAGATTCAGTCATTCTATTTAATATTTGGAGAGAGAGGGAGAGAGAGTTGAGCAGTACATAGGGGGATGTGTACAGGTCTGATTTGGAAGTGATTCAAATCAACATAGTATCAGTCCATTTTCAAAAGGCCAAAATAGTGCCCATGGCCACTCCCAACTACAAGGCAGTCTATGACAGAGAAAGTGAAATATTTAAACAGCTTATCTGCCTTGTTTCTCTCTTTTCCATCAAATACCCATCTCAGTCTTTCTCCCATATGAAGAATGCAATCAGCCCCTTTCTAAGACAAACCACCTCAATTCCCAAGTATTCTTTATCTGATTCAAAGTTCTGAGGCTCTGAGAGATGCATTGTCCTTGCCTTAAAGTCTAAACATATCCCCTCATGGTTCTTCAACCCATTAACCAAAAAACCTAGTTGTATTCAAACCAACTTTAAACAGGCACAAGATGGCTGACTGCTAAGAGATTAAAAAGAAGGAAAAACATGTGGAGTCATTGGACTATATAACAAAGGTCAAATCCAGCCAGACAGACTGGAATCAAGGAAGAGGGAAGGAAGGAGGGATGGATGGAGTATTTTAGAACACTAATTACAGCACTAGAGATTGACTATCTTTTTTTTTTTTTTTTTCTCACCAGAGGTTAAACCCAGGGGCTCTTAACCACTGAGCCACATCTCCAAACTTCTGTATTTTTTATTTTGAGACAAGGTACCTCTAAGTTGCTTAGGGCCTCACTAAATTGCACAGGCTGGCTTTGAACTTGCAATCTTCCTGCCTCAGCCTCTTAAGAGATGGGATTACAGCCATGAGCTACAATGCCCAGCAAGACTGACTATCTTAAAAATGATCCTGATAATAATTGTTCATTTGGCACTACACTTAGAACCGTACTTTATTATTATTTTTGATTCTCATACCAACCATGTGAATTAGGCCTTGTCATTATTCTCATTTTATTAGTAAATAAACTTAGATAAGTTACACAATTTGTGTTA